AAATATTTGTGATTTGAACCCTAATATCTTTAAAAGTAGAAGAAAAAGAATTAAATATTTAAAATCAGAATGAGGAATACTATAACAAAAAAAATTTTGTATGCAAAAAATAAGTAAAAAAGTAAAATTTTGTTGGCCTGTGTAATTAAAAGGATCAGAGTGTTATCCGGAGTTTTTTAAAATTGGAACCACAGGTGCCATTATTCAGCAGGCAAGAAAACAAGATTCAGTTAAACACTGATTAAGATTTTGATTCTCTTCTTAATATTTTAATATAAGATTTGGTAAGCTGAGAATAATACAACTTAGCATCAACCTTTTTTACATTGATTACTTACAAGAAAATAAAAAGACATTTGTTCTAAACGGAGTTGTTCTTGGGAAAGATTTAAAAATAACTAGAATTAGAAATTCAAACAGCTGGTCTTTAAACTATTAAACTAAATTTTATAGCAGCAAGAGATTAACATAGTTAACAAATAACAAAGCCCATCAAGGAGGCACAAGCGAAAACCCATGACTAGAATCAAAAAGATCCATCATTCCAGGCAGGAAATTATATAAAACTGATTTACATCAATGCATGCCTAATAGATAAGAAAAAGGTGTGAGACTGGTCAACAGAACTTTTTTTCTTACCCCCAAATTTTTGGTTAGAGGGCCTTCTACAAGACAGTAGCTGGATGAAGTTAACAGTTACCTAAGATCTTTTTATCAAATTTATTTTAGCACATTCAGTTCTTATTAGTTTTTATTTATAACCTTTAAATCTATCAATAACTTCTTATTAGTTTTTATTTATAACCTTTAAATCTATCAATAACTTACTGATGAAGCAGTAAAGTCTGCATACAACCCAGCAAGTATCACTATAAACCAAGTCAATGAGTCAAAATTGTTGAATTTTAAGCACAATTTATCAGAAATGATATGAGTATCTACAAAATCCCTTAAATTGATTTATTTTAATGTTTGTTGAGTAAGAGTAAGTGTTACAAACTAAAAATGTAAACACAAAAAATATTTTAACACAAAAAATATAAAGTTCAGTAAAAAAAACTAAAATGATGAAGAAAAGATAAGGAGACTGGTTAGAATCAGAATGATGAAGAGGTTATTTACTTTGATGATTAATATAAATCTCTATAAAAAATGATCTTATTTTTTAAAGAAAATAAAGGCAATTTATATACACAGGCTATTGCTATTCTTAAGAATGTAGACTTCATATATCTGTTATTAGCAACAATTTAAGTCAAAACAAATCACTCTGAATCTTACCTCTTATAAATGCACTTACTACAAGCCTTCCTAGAAAATGCATGTGGTTTTTTATCTTGTATGTCCATGCATGAGTATTTTTTTTAGACAATTTGGTCCTGGCTATTTGCAAGTTTTATATTAAACGTTCCAGAAAAAACCAAGTTTCAAAAACAAATTCAAAAAACAATATTATTTTCAGCAATGAATTTGGATATGAAAGCAAAAAAAAAAAAAACAATTTCAAGTCAACATTAAAAAGAATGATTTTTCTATATTTTATTTGTTTTTTTTTTAGAAGGAAAAAAAAAAAAAAAATTACTATCTGTTTGTAAAATAAATTTGTATAATTTTAATAAACTAGTATATATTGTACCTAACACTTACGTAAAGCATGCTTATACTTTTATGTATAACTTTTATTATTATATAATTATATTTGTTTATAAGTATATGCATGTTTAGCTTAGGGGTTGTCCATAAAGTACGTAGGCTCAAAGTGCGGAGGGGGGAGGTCTTCAAAAAGTGTACAAAAGCGTATTTCAATTTAAAAGTACATACTTCGATTTTCTAATTTTACACAATTAACCAGTTAGAATACAGAAAAGTTAAAATTCTGACTAAAGATCCTAGTTTGCCAACATAAAAAGATGTATTGTATAGGGAGTAGAAGGTATAGTTTCTCTCTATGCACACACATGCATGGGCGCCCGCAGGATTTTTTGATATTCCAGATAAACCACTTCCACACATTGTGCAAACTCCAAACTTAAGTATGTTTATACCTATGCCATCTAAAGAAGCCTTGCAAAAAATTGTTGTGGCAGTAGCCAGCGAACAAAAAAGCCCTCAAATGCTTGCATCCCCTCCCCTGCCTAAATGTGAGGGCACTAATGTAGTAAAATTTTCCTACCCCCTTCCCCAAAAAACATAAATGAGGGGCTGTACATTTTGAATCGACATCGACAAATCGACAACTTTTGTAATTTACAATATTTTTCAACAAAATTTAGTTCTGTTGATAAGTTCTGTCGATAAATTTGAATATAGTTTTAGATCGTTAAGTTAAAAATTTAACTACATAAGTGCCCTCACGTTTGAGCAGGGGGGCAAGCGATTCATGGCTATTTGTTCACAGGTCTCCGCCATCCCAATTTTTACAAGGTCTCCTCATTTGGCATAGGTATAAACATACTTAAGTTTGGAGTTTGCACTATGTGTGAAAGTATCCTATCTGGAA